ATTTTCTGCCATTTTATGTAATATTACTTTATAGAAAACAGAGTAGTTGGCATATCTGCTTCAGAAAAAATTAATTATAAAATAAAATAAAAATTACAAGCATAAATTTTCAAGTATCTGGAAACTAAGAAAATTTTATGAGTGATTTGTCGTTAGTGGTTCCTTTAAAAATGTTGGATGTACTTAATAGTGTCTTCTTGTGTGTCTATAAATGAAATTTTTTGCAAAAATGATTGAATAAAAAATGAAATTTTCGTAAAATAAAATAGAAGCTTTATTTTCTCTACAACCAACTGTATCCATTGAAGTAGAAATTCGCCTGAAAGCTCGGTTTAGCATGAATGAAGGAGCTCTGTCTGGTTGCTATAGTGATCATCATCTCTTTATTCAGGCGTGGGCGTACTTGGTACAAAAATACCTTTTTCGAAGTCCAGGACAGATGCACTTAGTTAAGTCGAGAATTCTGTCTTAAAATCGAATGTAAAAAAATAACAATTATGAGAAAAAAATGAAAGGGAAGAATATGGATCGATATTCTTTGAAAGGAATTGATATAACTCTTTTAAGTCATATAAAAATGAAACTTTGGCATTTCAATACATTATTTTCTGTCAGTAGTATGAAATTTTCTGTTCGATAAATTAAGGGAAAAATTTTGTGTTTTAATAAATAAATAAATAGAATAAAATAATGAAATAATTTCATATCCAAGCGTAGATTTTATTGTATTAAACATTTTGATTAACCTGTGAGTCGATGTTCCCATGAGCTTTTTCTTAAAAGATAAATGTTAAGTTTCTTAGTTCATTATTAAAAATTATCTGAAAGAAGCATAACAATTCGGCTCACAATGGTCCAGTTCACTATAATATAAGATTCTGGAATTGGGATACTACCATATTTTAAAATTAGGGAATTAGTAGAAGTTTAGAAAATATCAGAAAAGCTTACGTATATATACATCACTACAGAATGTTGAGTTTTTGCAACAGTTGTAGTCTAGTGTGAGCTTTATTATGTTGATTTAAAATAATTGCACCTTCACTTTAAAATTTATTTAATTGTTTGTGTTTAAAATAGTCTTTCTAAACGATACTAAAGTCCGACCGATTCTGAATATCCTTTTATAATGGTTCGATAATGGCTATAATGGTTCGATGATGTTTAAACTTAAATAAATTTTAACCAATAGTAATTTTTTTGACAGGGATTTATCCTTAGAAGAGGACATTAAGCACTAACGGGTACATTCTTAACTGAATCTTATCAATGTATTATAATTATGCACAGTCAGCAGGAAAGAAAAAACGGATAACCTTTTTATAACTTTTGAACGGTTTGACGGATTTTCATTCTGTAAAGTGCTTTGGTGTTATCCCCCCAAAACTCTCTTATATGTATAACAGTTACAGGGTTCATATGCACCTGAAAAAAATTAAAAAATGGTAGTAAAATGAATATAATTTTGATTAATATTAATATGATTGTAGCTATCATAATATTTTCTTTTCCTTAAGTAAATATATATAGATCCAAAGGTGGCGGATATGAAATTTTAATTCACCAGTTGAAGCTGTTACGAAATTTTCAGCTTCCTAATTACAAAGTTGATACCTACTATTTGTTTTTTTAAGATGCTTACAAGCCCTGCAGTTAACTCTAACCGTGGCAGAAAAGGCTTATTTTGACCCAAAAAATGAATTTTTTCTTTCGAAACATTCCTTTTCCTCCGCATAATTCGTATTTATCATCCTCTATATAGAGACAATAGACAAAATTTTAAAAGCTGGCTTTTATAGCGCATTAGCTGTAACGGTGAAACTTGTCCTATAATGTTATTTTAATGCGTCACGTTTCTCTTCATACCTTTTGAATGATTGGTTCAACTACAATAATTCTATTTTTTTTTTCACTAAAAGTTATAAGTCCTCAACTTGAAAGAAAAATATGCAAATGTAATGGGGAATTTAGACTAATTAAATAATTTCATTAACTAATTTATTAATGATGGGAAAAAAATTACACAAGTAAGATATGGAAATTTTTTATATGTTTAGAAGTTTCAGATTTTTTGAAACCAAAATCAGAATTTTCACGTATTTTGATTTAAAAAGAAAGGTGTTTAAAATTGATGGAAAGAATTATAGAATGGTATTAGAATGACACCCCGTTTTTCGATTGCATTGCCAAGTTGCAATACTTAATATTATACGTCATACCAGTTAACTTATAGATAAAAGAGTTAATCCTTTCTTTAATCATTTTTACATATATCTTTCTTTTCTTTCTTTATTTATAGAAAATTGGGCACCTGGGCCGCGCAGAAGGCCCATATCCCATACATTATGAAAAAGAATAAAAGGTTAAAATAAAAGACAGTTTGAGTTCAGCAGTTTATGGGGGGGGGGGCTGTTACTGGGAGACAAGAACCTTGCTTGTATAACTGAAAGAAAATGAAAATAATAAGAGCAACTTGGTGTAGTTTTTTTTTCATATAAAATTAAGAAATGCCCATATTTTTAAAAATTTTGTACTTAGAAAACTGGTAGATTGTCATCTTTTTTAATTTAATATTTCCCCTTTTATTTGTGTGTTTTAGAATATACTTCCATTCCAACCCTCTTCATTAGTAATCTAGTAACAGATTCATTAAAGCTTTAATTTCCAATAGTAGTTCTACTGCTTTTTAAATTTTACAAGATTACGTTTTACAAACATAGATTTGGTTGAAAAATTTTACTATAAAATTCTAGATAATTTGTAATCAGCTGTAAAAATATTTTGAATTGAATGCTAACGAAATGAGAATGGTATGTGAAATTACACTCCATTTTTAATTACATCGCCAAATCGCAATACTTCATTTACACATATTGAGCCGTGGTGGCTCAGGGGATAGAGAGTTCGCCTTCCAAGCTGCAGAACCGGGTTCGGATCCCAGCGATGGCTAGTCGATACGAATTCCTCACCCGACTCGCACCGACCACAGTGCTGACATAAAATATCCTCAGTGGTAGACGAATCACGAGTTAGAGTCCCCTTCCTGTCAGGCTAACCGTGGTAGGTTTTCGTGGTTTTCCTCTCCATGTAACGCAAATGCGGGTTAGTTCCATGAATAAGTTCTCCACGAAGGCAAATTTCTCCCAATACTTGATCCATGAGTTCCCTTGTCTTCTGGATTGGATTTAAAATTACAAGGCTACGGAGTTGAACATTAGTAGTCGTAAACCCAAAATCGGGTCGGCTGATCAATGACGGTTATAAAATGAAATACTTCATATTAAACTTTATATGATTTAACCTATAAATGAAAGAGCTAATCCTTTCTTTAATCATTTATGCCTGGCAAATTAAGAAACGCCCATNCTACTTTATCTTGGAAAAGAAGCAGTTTTATATATATGCCAGAATTATAAAAGAAATCTTTATAGTTACAGATATTTCATTTTTTTCGAAAAAAATGCTGGAATGAAATGTTTTACGTACCAGGTTTTTCTCTTTTCCGTCTTGCTATATAAGGGCTTTCACCCATGTTCCAACCGTCTTCATTATCGATCTAGTAACAGATTCATTAAAACGTCCCCCCCCCCCTGCAATATTGTTACTGCGCTTAAATTTAACAAAACTCCGCTTTACGAATGAAGATAAGGTAGTAAATTTTAAGGGCGAAACAATTGAAATTTTTTCTTTAAAATTCTGGGTAATCTGATTTAATATTTTGAATTAACCCCTTGGAGACGGGTGATTCAGAAAAGCATTTGTACAAAATCAGAATCAAGTTGTAATTAAATAAAAAACGATAACTTAAATGTAGTCGCTGCTAATTTGACAGACTTACTTTGCTTTTACTTTAATTATTGTTAGTTTAATCATATATACTAGTGGGCTGCGCCCCCTGCTCGCTAACGCTCGCCAACCCCCGAAAATTGCCACGCAATCTTATATGTTTTAACCCTTTGTCGCAGAATTTCGATAAAACATATTTTCCATACTTTTTTCCTTATTTTGAATGAAATAATGTCAAAATAAGTAAAAAAATATTATATTTAGCATTCTAATAATTTATGGTTATGAAATATAGCATGAAACACAGGTTGTCTTTTTCTGCCTTTAATCAATTATTGATACATTCTTGAATATGAATGGAAAAAAATTCAAACCACTGTTTTTGGATTTTATACTTTAGTACTATATAATTCCGATAATCTGACAGTTTTTTCAGTAATTATTGGACTGTATTTTATAATTAAAAAGTATCGAAATATATTTTTGCTTGTAATCAGAGCGTCAAGAAATCTATAACAGGGGCACCGGTGTCCAACTTGTATCAAAGGGTTAAAGTATAGGTCGATATAACTTATAAACATTCTCCGACTATCAATTAAAAACGCTCAAGTAAAAAACGCTGAATTAAAAACACTCAAAATTAAAAGATATATCATAATACTTTCCCCCCTTGAATTTAGAGTTTTTAAATAATAAAATAATTGTTATAAAACAAGAAAAGTGAGAATAAATTCACTCGATATTCTTTGGGAAAAAAATGTGAAGGCGTTTCAAGCTTTGTTTTCAAATTATAATGAAATATTTATTACCGTAGTTAATTTTTAATACGTCATTAGTGTAATACGTTTTATTAGTATTCTAAATTTAAAAAAAATTTTGTTATCTATAATACATTTTATGTTCTTCCTAAAATCGTTTTACTCATGAATCTAATGGCTGAGTTAATGTATTATTTGAAATATGGCGTGTTACAGTGATAGCCAAAAGTAGGTGACTGTGATATTAAAAAACGAATTTTAAAAGACCATTTCTAGTTTTAAAAAAACAAACAAAAGTGAATTAAAAATTTTGAAAACATGAAATCAATAAAGCGAAGCTATATTTAGCTTTTCATGAATTCCTCCCGATAGTTTCAAAATATTTGAATGAAATAAACCGTCGCGTAGATCAGAAACATGAATGGATTCGGATCAATCACATTCTATAAACGGAGGATGAAGATAAAATGGGTGATGGGGAGTTCTGAGAAAAGGCTCCGGTTGCTATGGCAATCATCTTCTAGGGCATGCGCAGACAGTAGTAAACACACTGCCTCTAAAGGTATTCTCGAACAATTGGATTATGTTCTAAAAATGAGGTAGGGACTAAAATAGACCTCGTTTTATAACGAGAATGAACGTCGTGGACACTCCATCGGACACCAGAGCGATTAAAGAAGATTTCCACCTCGAAAAGTTTAACAGTTTTTACCTCAAAGACCTCCAATATTTAAATCTATGTGGCTTACCATTGACTCGACATGTACTTCTCGATGACGATGTCGAAAGCTCGTTGGCGTACTTGAATCTAAATGGCTTTCTGGCCAAATTGATTCTGTCGCCAAATTTTCGGGCTTATTTTGATGTCTTCATGGAACTGAAATTGGGAGACTGTTTCGATCAGTATCAGGAAGTAGTAAATCGCAGGTATCAAGAATGCCAGGAGCCGAGAATTTTGGAGGTTTACATTGAGACATGTGTGCGGTTTTCCCGTTGTGAGACGAGGTCTCAACGGAAAGTGGTATTCGATCGAGTTTTGGACAATTTGTTCGAAGCTAACAGTGATGATGTTAGTCCTTTGGAGAGTATGATAAATGTGATTAAGAAGAAGGACTGCTCTCTAAGAGAGATATCATTTATAAGCATGAGCCCATTTAAATTAAACTATTTTTTTCAACAATTGAAAAAGTGCTATGCTGATTATCTGACAAAAGATGATTGTCTCAGCTGTCCTTTGCAGGTATTGTTGAGTCATGATCTTTGGGGACCAGTACACAAATGTTTTGCGGAACCATCAGCTTCAAATCTAGCAGTAGCCTTGAATCACGGGTTCGAACTGAAAATCACGAAGCCACAATTACAATGGTATCTTAAAAACATACTAACCAGCAAAAGAAATCCAATATATGATGAGAATTTCTATTTTTGGTGAGTAAAAAAAAATTATCTGTAAAGAAGTAATAGGTAACATTTCTTGATTTTAGAAATTTAATTATATTAATTTATTATGTTAAGGATTTAATATGTTAAAATTTAAAGTTAAATGGATAATATGTTAAGTGAAATTTTGGAAAGATCGTGACAGTGAGTTTTGAAAAGCCTAACTTCAAAATTTGGAGGATGATTGGCTGGAAACACTATTTAACTAAGTTTTTTTTTAAAGGGAAGTTTATTTTCAAAGATATTGTAAACAGCTCATTAAGTTTCTATTTATTCAAAAACTTGTGGTCTTTACTCATTCACATTTATCTATTTTATTTACCTTTTACCTGCCAAACTCTTGTCTAACAGTAATTACTAAATTACCTACATTGAAAAAAGTGGTAACAAGTTTGCATTTATATTAGATGGAAATTTTCTGCAGTAAGTAACCAATTCAGTTAAAAACATAAAAATTTGATTTCAGGACACGATATATATCACAAGATAAGTAATTTTATATTGTTATTATATTCTGGTTGATAGGTATATTTAGCTTCTCCAACTGTAATAAAAGTTTTGAGTATTTAACATTTTAAAAAAGAAACTCATACCTGCCAACTTTTACAAAAACTTTTTTAAAAAAATGAAGCATACATATGAATATGTAATTCTGCAGTGGTAGTTCGCATAAGCTTTTTCAAAATACAGTGTATGTTTCTATCTAAAATTGCAATTCAAATTCCATTTTGCTACCACTTGGGAAAATCATCCTCGGAAAGATTAAAAGTGGGCAGGTATGCATGTTCCAAAAATAGAGAATTGACGTTTAAATGGTTAATGAGAATCAAACCGAAAAAGGGGTAAAACTGGTTCATTTCATTTCTAACTTAATTTCGTGGAGGAATAAATGCCCATGATTACCAAGACGTACTGTCAATTACTACCCATAACCGAAAAAGCATTCCAGTATATACGTTTTAACTTTTAATAAGAATTGGTAGCTAAGTCTCTTTATTTCTCCCGAAAATAAGTTACAGATTGAACAGTTTTACGACCAGTTTTTTCTCTTTTCCGGGTAACAAACAGCCCTGATTAATATAAAGAAATTTCTTCTCAAAAAATAATAGGAATAGATAATTTCTAATTAAAAATAGTAGAAGCCTAATAGTGTGAGCTTTTAATTCAGCATTTAAAAAAAGGGGTAAGTGATAAAATTTAAGCTATAAATATATGTATTTTAAATTATTGATACTCGTGATAAAATATTCATTATTTTACTTCTTTTAAAACTACTTTTTTCCTCTTCTATTAGCTTTCTCGTTTTCCAAATACGTAGCAGCATTGGAAAAAACAAAATATAATGATAATTCTATTATTATTACTCTGATTAGATTTGAACTAGAATTCTTGTTTCCGAACAAAATTTGATTTCGTTACTATTACTATTATTAACCCTTTGCACTCCCAGTACTTTTAACACGCTGAATGCCACCCTAATTTTACATGGCTTGCCCATCTGGCCAAACGGTAAAGAACTACGAACTAAATTTGCAAATATTAGACAGATTTTCCTAGTCCTAGTGTTTCGATTTTATTGGGCACCTGGGCCGTGAAGCGGCCCCTATCCCATTCATCTGGAATTTTAGAACAGTTTTGGTTGAGCAATGAGGTAAGCAGGCAATGATTAGACAGATTTTTTTATTTTTTATTATTAATCCAAAACAGGGTGCCTGGGCCGCGCAGCGGCCCCTAACCCATCCATCATGAAGTATTTACAAGTTGAATTAAAAACATTTTGAATTATGCAGCATTAAGGTAGCAGAACAGAAGATCAAGCAAATTTGCTTGATAAATTAAACATGAATTGATATTTAATATGAGTCATGATTTATAAAATAATCAGAAATTTTCATGAATATAAAAAGCACAATTGATATTGAAGTATTGAATGGGATTAAATTTGATGCAGTTAGACAGATTTTGCTAGTTTTTTTTAAAAGGTTTAGCATGACATATCTGAAAAAAAGTGGTGACTTATATAAGCCTAAGAATTGTTTAGAAATCGAGGTACATAAAAATCTAGTAAATTGAATTTATTTAACCAAGAATCACTATTAATAAACTACCACTTGAAAATATTTATTCGCTGTCCGGAGAAAGTTGGCATCTCTGTGTACATAAATAAAACTATTTTTGTGTGTTCTATATTGCATTAATTTCTTCAAACCATTTTAGTAACGATAATAATATTTAAAAAAATTAAAAATTTACTCGAATTTAATGTTTTGAATAATCTTGGCTTCGCTGGTCACCCCCGTGGCGCGGCGACTAAACGGTCACCGGTGACCTCCATGGCATTCAACGTGCTAAATGCTGTTTGATCTAATATCAGCACTATAGCATTTAAATTTCACAATATACTAATGTTATACAATTTTAAAATTCTTAGTCCTAGTCCAGGTATTTTGATTTTATTGTNAGTTCAACAGTCACTGGAGTTGCTTTTATGAATGTTTCAAGCTCTTTGCTTGAATAACTAAAAAGGAATCAAAAATAAATTGAGCAGCTTGCTCTATACTGTGTTTGTTTGATTTTGGAGTTGTTCAGAATTGTATCAGCATGAGTTAACGTTATTTTCAGAAAGGTTGATGAAATTATTTGTTTTGATAGTTATGATATGAGGCGTCGGAGGTGAAATGTGCAGCTATTGGTCTGTAGTTTTTATCTTTGATATAATTTTCAAATTTAAAGATTTCATTAAAATTTGCTGTTTTACATTCTATGGCTTTATTTAAAATTCTTAAAATAATGCTGTTACTAATTATTTAGGTATAATTAATTTTAAAGTGGTGCCTCCGTGGGGATATAGGAGCACAAAGGGTTAATAAGTGAGAATGCTCGTTTCCTAACTAGATATTTTCTTTTATTAAACAAAACGTCACAGTTTTACAATGGAAATGTTTAAACAGTAAAAACTTTTTTAACTATATCAACTCAAAACGAGCCGAAAAAACTTTCGTAAGATAAAGTTTTTGTCTAGTCGGAAGGAAATTAAAATGTTACAGCGTAATGTCAAAAAATAAAAGTGTTACTAAAAATATGTTGAAGGTTTGTTCAATACTCAAGGTTTAACTTTCAATTTATTTTAAACATATTATGGATTGTTGCCGTATATCTAAATGTATATAATTTAGGTTATAAATGTGTTAGAGTAGCTTCGAAATCCTGTGTTCCTTACAATGATAGACAAATAAATCAACACTCCCCTGGACTCCCAAAGGTCTTAATGTTTAAACTGGTAGTAAAATTTATAATATAAACTACATTCCTTGTTTTCAAGTATCGATCATTAAACTTTTCTGATTGCAGCAAAGGTTTGTAAATTTATTGAACATATACAGACCGGCCAGTCAACTACTATGCTTTTTGCAAAATATTTAATAGAGTGATAGACAATCAAAAACTAAAGCTTCCGGAATTTTGGTTCATCTTGCGAAAAATTTATTAGTCTCACCATAAGTGACCTGGAACAAAATGGTTCTTCATATGTACTTTTAAATCATTCATATGTAGTGTAGCGGAAAATAACTTTAAATCAAATTCACTAAACAATGAATTATAGATTAAAACATAAACTTTGCTACCATAAGATGAAATTTTCCCACAAAGCGCAAAAAGTTGACAGCTCAATATAGAATTCTGATGCGTGCTAGATGAATATTATCTAATTTGAAGTTGTTGCGAAATGAGGAAAACCTTAAAATACTTTGAAGAGTAGTTTGTTACCACTAGAATATTTTTGTCGAACATCAAGAAGCCATGACGCTAAAACTTTCTTCTTTCGGATTCTTTTTCATTATGGGATACTGCGACCCTATGAAACCCGGGCATAGGAGACGTTTAAAGCTTATTCCTAAAGTAAAGCAGCATTTAATTTTCGAATTTGGAAGCATGACTTATATGATAGTTGCCTTGTTAATTTATGAATTGTTCCTTTTCGTTTTTTTTTAGTTTGAAAAGCAGATTCATATGGCTGAATTCTTTAAATTAACTAATAAAATTTAACACTTTATATTAATACTGAAACAATTTTGATTTTGCTGTTACAATAATTGCCCCGATCGACAATTTTGATTTTGCAATAACAATAATTACGCCCGATAATTCGAAACTAAAAATGTTTTATTTATACCTTTTATCCAGAAGAAATTAAGAACTTGTAGCTACTACAATTTGCTATGTGTTATCATCATCATCAAATTTTATCTGGGCGACTGAGGCCGTTAGCGGCCCTTTTCCCATCCGTCTTGAAATGTTGTCTTTAAGGTGGCTCTTTCTGGTAATTGGAATGCAAATTGGAGTGAAAGGGAAATTAAATATTTTGGATAAGATTACGCCACTACAATAGTAAGCTGCCATCGGCCTGAGATTTATGTCTTCTCTTAAGTTTTCAAAATTAAATAATGAAACTTCACGTGTTAATATATATGCTAAACTCAACCAAAAAAGTGGTAGTCAAGAATCGCTTATTTTTTGTGAATAAAATAAAGAATTGAAAAATCTTCATAAATAATTAATTATTTGCTACAATACCAGTAGCCAAATGACGAATTAGTGTCATTTAGCTACTAAGATACATTGCTTTTTAGATTGACGGGAGTATGAATAGAATAAGTTTTAGTAAGTTTTTCTTAAAACTAAATTTTTTTACTCACAGACAAGATAACTTCATAAATTTTTAACAAATTTACCTAGAAGTAAGTGTTACTAATGTTGATTCCGTAGCACGTAAACTTGAATATAACACATGAATAATTTAAGATCTAATAACCGGTACTGCTGTCATGCACACTGCTAGGATGCTGCTATCAACATACTTGCCATCTTATCTTCTTTTTCGAGAAGATTTTCTCAAGAGGTAGTGAGGAGAAAATCAAATTACAATTGTAGAACAGTCAAATTTTGGAACAACTTACCTATACCATCGCATGTTTCTCAGGCATTTT